CATGGAGAGGTAGCGAAGCGTTGCTCTCGCCTCAAGACCTTCTCCTCCTCCTCTTCCTCCTCCTCCTCTTTCTCCTCCTCTTCCTCCTCCTCCTCCTCTTCTTCCTCCTCCTCCTCTTCTTCCTCCTCCTCCTTCCTCCTCCTCCCCCTTCCTCCTCCTCCTTCCTCCTCAAGACCTCCTCCTCTTCTTCCTCCCCCTCCTCCTCTTCCTCCTCTCGCCTCAAGACCTCCTACTCCTCCTCTTCTTCCTCCTCTTCCTCCTCCTCGTCCCCGCGAGCAGGGTCGGCGGCACCGGCCGAAAGGCCTTCGCAATATCCAGAACGTGTGGCAATGACGGGACGCAGCGCACATCGAGCACGAGAAGGGACGAATCGTCGCCCTCGCCTCAGAACAGTGCGGACGCCTCTTGAAAACTTGAGCTCACGTTGGGAGAGGCGCAAGTGATTCCGCTCCCCGGCTCCTCGCGCGCTGGGCTGCGAGATCAAGCCCTCGCCGACACATGCCTAAACACTGCGCGGCTCGTCCTGAAAACTGTGCCCCCGCCTGGGCGCGGCGCATGTTTGCGCCCGCACGTCGCACAAGCAACAGGTCCACGCGGCCTACCTTCAACCGTCTTGATTGGATCACTAGGGCGGCAACGTAGCAATACACCCTGCGAAATGCTTTAGAAATCATGGGTTAAGAAATTCATGGTCTCAGAATTTGAAATCAAACCCAGAATGTCTATTCAAATGTTAAGATTTACATTGAAGCATTAAGAATAATCGAGACTCTGGCCGAAAACTTGGGTTTTCTTGAGCATCGCCTGGAGTGTACCTTCAACCGTCTTGATTGGATCACCAGGGCGGCAACGCAGCAACACAGTGCGGGCGCGGTCGCCAGAAACCCTGGCAAGGAACCCAACCGCTGCAAAACCCGCGCGCGCGGCGCAGCCGAGGGAGGACACGCAGCACCCTGCACGCGGCCGCTCCTTCCCCCTGCTGCGGGAAGCCGCCGCGCGGCGCGCGGAGCGCAGAAACCCAGGGCTTCCCTGGCAAAAAGCAGATGGCTTCTTGATGCGCGCCTAGGGGGCCGCATGCGAACCCTACCCCTACCCCCCACGATTTCTGAAGGGGGGGGGGGGGTCACTTCGCTCCCTGGCTTCCCTGGCAAAAAGCAGATGGCTTCTTGATGCGCGCCCCCACTGTATTCGGGAGCGGCCAAGAGGGGGTGTCCCAGAGGGGGGGGTGCAAATCATGACCGGCGGCGTGTGCGCGGCCCAGCGGGGGGGGCCAGGGACGTAGTGAAACAAGACGAAGCGCCAGGAGAGCTGGGGACAAATCGTGGCCCCCGCCAGGATATCCCCCCCCCCCCCCAGTCATCACCCCCCTCTTTGCCGCCCCCGCTGTATGTAGCAGCCGCTGCAGACCGCGCAGAAAGACTCTCGGGAACCTCCGCGCGCGCACGCGTGCGGCCCGTGCTCCTGCCCCTCGCCAGGCCGTCGGAGGCGGGAGCCAGCGAGGGAGCCCTTGCGTCCGCTCCGTGGCGGAAGCGCCGGGCCCGGCATCAATGAAGGGGCCCTGGGACACACAAATAAACACACACCCGAACAAAAAGATTCCCCACATGTTCCCATACTTTCTGGGTTTTTGTCTTCCCCCCCCACTTCTCATATTTTCCCATATTTGGGGGGAATCGACGATTAATTGTGTCTGTGTGTGTTTTCCCCATATCCTAAGAATGGGGTTCTTGTTATTGGCAGACCGCGCCGGAGGAACACAGGATAACAGGAACACCCTCACCTCCTCTCAGTCAGACCCACTCAGACTCACTCATCACGCAGACTCACTCATCACTCAGACTCACTCATCACTCAGACTCACTCATCACTCAGACCCACTCATCACTCAGACCCACTCATCACTCAGACTCACTCATCACTCGGACTCAGTCATGGCTCAGACTCATCACTCATCACTCAGACTCACTCATCACTCAGACTCACTCATCACTCAGACTCACTCGTACTTGTACTCATACATTCACTACACTCACTCAGGTCCACTCATCGGATGACTCACACACACTGATGTTGAGGATGAGACACAAACACAGAAAAAAAAATTCAAAGCGAAAATATCGTAGACACAAAAAAAACAAGAAAACAAAAAGCAATACCCAAACAAACAAGTACAAGAACACACGACATAAACAAGACACCACACACACAAACATGAATCAAACGCACTCCTTTGGGGACATCGGGGGGGTATTTTCCACGGGGGGCTATCCGCGATTTGTAGGATGTCTCAGGCGGTTTTGGCCATTTTCTCTCCAACATGTGTTAGTTATTCGGAGCAGATTTGGAGAATGTCACAGGCTATTCGGTTGTCCTCAAGCACTCTAGAGGGGGGCCGGCGGGGGGGTATTTCACGAGGTCCCGTTCGCGGAATTTTGTGGGGGTGTCTCAGGCGGTTTGGCCATTTTCAGCTTCGACGCGTTTCGCTTTCGGAGCAGATTTGGAGGATGTCTCAGGCGATTCGCTTGTCTCAGGGCTCTAAGGGGGGCGGCGGGGGGGGCATTTCAAGGGGCCCCGTTCGCAGAGTTTTGTGGGGGCGTCTCAGGCGGTTTGGCCATTTTCTCCTCCAACATGTTTCGTTTTCGGAGCAGATTTGGAGGATGTCTCGGGCGATTCGCTGGTTTCAGCACTCCTAAGGAGAGCGGCGGGGGTATTTCGCGGCCCCCGTTCGCGCAGATTTTGTGGGGATGTCTCAGGCGGTTGCAATTATCTAGCGGCAGCATCTCTCGCTTTCCGACTCCACAAAAGGAAGGGGAGTGGAGGGGAGTGCGGAAAGAGGCATGACGAGGAGGAGGAGGAGCCGGAGCAAGGAAAGGCTAGGAAGCATGATGAATATGATGATGGATGACGATGAATGAGGATGAGATGAAAGTAGAGGACGAGTAGGATGAGTGATGATGATGATGATGAATGATGAATGATGAATGATGAATGATGAATGATGAATGATGGATGATGATGATGATGGTGATGATGATGATGATGATGATGATGGTGATGATCTCGGCCCGATCGAGAGCCCTCTGGGGGAGGAGGAGAATGAAGTAGGAGGAGGAGCAGAAGTCGTACTAGTCGGAATAAAAAAAGAAAGAAAAAAAAAAAAAAAAAAAAAAAGATAAAAAAAAAGGAAAAGAACGGAAAAAAAAAGGAGGACGAGTGGAGGAAAAGGAGGAAACGGAAGGCGATGACGGGGGGCGGCGGGGGGGTGTTTCACGGGGTCCCGTTCGCGGAATGTGGTACCAACACCAGCACACCCACCAACAGCACAACCACCAACAGCACAACCGCCAACAGCACAAGCGCCAGCGCAATATGGCACCACCACCAGTACAACCACCACCAGCACAACCACCACCAGCACGACCACCATCAGCACGACCCATCACCAACGCAACCACCACCAGGACACCAGCGCAACCACCACCAGCACAACCACCTGCCAGAACATCCACTACCAGCACGACCACCACCAGCACAACCACCACCAACGCAACCATCATCAGCACAACCGCCCGCAGCACAACCAGCACGACCACCACCAGCACAACCACCACCAACGCAACCGTCACCAGCACAACCATCACCAGCACAACCACCACCAGGACACCAGCGCAATCACCACCAGCACCAGAACAACCACCTCCAGCACAATCAGCACAACCATCATCAACACAACCGCCACCAGCGCAAACAGCACAACCGTCACCAGCACAACCGCCAGTGCAATTACCACCAACGCAACTACCACCAGCAATCCTTTTCAGGGGTTGCGTACCAACAGTGGCGACAGCCGCCACCAACACAATTTAATATATTCATTTGTGTTCGCATTGCGGCCAAACCGTGGTGCGAATGCAAATGGATGCCGTTTCGACGGCGCGACGTTCGGTCGCTTTCCTTCTAACAAGCTTTTTCCCCACATCCTAAGTATGGGGTTCTTGTTATTGGCGGACCGCGCCGGAGGAAAGAGAACACACCACTCTTCTCACTCAGACCCACTCACTCATCACTCAGACTCACTCATCACTCAGACCCACTCATCACTCAGACTCACTCATCACTCAGACTCACTCATCACTCGGACTCAGTCATGACTCCGACTCATCACTCATCACTCAGACTCACTCATCACTCAGACTCACTCATCACTCAGGAGCAGATTTGGAGGATGTCTCAGGCGATTCGCTGGTTTCAGCACTCCTAAGGGGAGCGGCGGGGGGGTATTGCACTCGGCCCCTTTCGCGGGATTTTGTGGGGATGTCTCAGGCGGTTTGGCCATTTTCTCTTCCAACATGTTTCGCTCTCGGAGCAGATTTGAAGGATGTCTCAGGCGATTCGCTGGTTTCAGCACTCCTAAGGGGAGCGGCGGGGGGGTATTGCACTCGGCCCCTTTCGCATGATTTTGTGGGGATGTCTCAGGCGGTTTGGCAATTTTCTCTTCCAACATGTTTCGCTTTCGGAGCAGATTTGGAGGATGTCTCAGGCGATTCGCTGGTTTCAGCACTCCTAAGGGGAGCGGCGGGGGGGTATTGCACTCGGCCCCTTTCGCGGGATTTTGTGGGGATGTCTCAGGCGGTTTGGCCATTTTCTCTTCCAATATGTTTCGCTTTCGGAGCAGATTTGGAAGATGTCTCAGGCGATTCGCTGGTTTCAGCACTCCTAAGGGGAGCGGCGGGGGGGTATGGCACTCGGCCCCTTTCGCGGGATTTTGTGGGGATGTCTCAGGCGGTTTGGCCATTTTCTCTTCCAACATGATTCGCTTTCGGAGCAGATTTGGAGGATGTCTCAGGCGATTCGCTGGTTTCAGCACTCCTAAGGGGAGCGGCGGGGGTATTAGCACTCGGCCCTCTCGAGGCGGATTTTGGGTGATGTTCTCATGGCGGTTTTGGCCGATTTTTCTCTTCCAACATGTTCGCTTTCGGAGCAGATTTTTTTTTTTGAGAGTTGCTTCCGTCCTGTCTGGTACGTAACTACTGTATACCGCTGTCGTTCTGAAGGAACCCATGCTTCTTCCAAGAACTCGCAAAATGAGAGAGAAAAATATCTTAAAACGACAAATAGAAGAAAAAAAATGAAAACAAAGAGAAAAACAAAAAAAAAAGATTCGAGAATATAATAATATGGAACAAAGAAAAAAAGAGAAAAAGGCAAACCCCTATCACACACCCATGAGGGCGCCACGTACAGGGAGCCAGCTGCCGTCAAGTGATGGGGATCCTGGTACGCCATGACGTTGCTGCCAGGAATGAAGGGCATGCAAATGTCCCCGTGACAGAAGAGGTCCCTGTACTCAAAGAGCAACAGGCTGGAAGTCCTTTGCAACTCCCGAAGCCTCAAGGTGATCGCCGAGTTCATCACGTCCTGTTTTTTAGGAAAACAATGACTGCGCAGATCTGCCGGCAACCCAAGATTACTGCACTTCGTGGGGACGTCTGGCCAGTATTGAATGTACGAGTGATGATCCCCAAGCATGAGGACTCTGGCACTCTTATTGTCGGCAAGTGTTACCCAATCGTTCAGGAAGGACGTGACAATGTCAACTTGTGAGCCGATCACCCCATCTATGAATAGGCCGATGGCCACGATGTCGCCAGGCACCAGATCGTCTGCAATCAGCTCCCGAAGCTCGGCATGATACCTTTTACTTGGATATCCTCTGTGGGGATCAAGATTGGATTCCCAAAAGCCATCGATGAAGTGGACGCTGGCCCACGAACGCACATCAATTCTGCCGCTCACTGCTTGCGTCAGAGCATGCTTGAAGAAGAGCGCGTGCGAGTCACCCAATAAGAAGATCGTGGGCTTCCTCTGTGCTTTTGTCGCTGGCGATAAGCACTGCCGCTTCTGCCTGTCGAAGAGCTCGATCAAGGCTTCGTCCATGCGCTTCTCCTGCGTGCAGTTTTTCCCTTGAAGCTCGCACTCACCGTCGCACCATTCATCGCCGCTGCAACGATGATAGACGGCCCAGCAGCTCTTGTTCAGCTCAGAGCCACCGCTCATGTCCAAGCAAGATGGCTGACCATCCCTGCCATCGTTAGCAGTCGCTGGCGCATGCGTGAATTCAGGAACCCTGCCGCACGCGCAAGCTGTTAAAGCCAGGTCATGGCTCGCGGGGGCGAGCTGCTCGAGATGGACGTGTTCCCCTGGGCTGCTCGAGGTCGAGGCCATGGTTGCGGAAGGGACCTCTGAGTTTCCTGCCGACACGCTCAGCTTGCCGAACAGCGGGCCGCGAAGTGCGAGCATGCAGCCCGCCAAGACGACAGCGGCGGGCAGCAGCACGGCGAACGCGTGCCAGTGGGCCTTGGGCCGCCAAGACCGGAAAGGCTCCTCCACCGCGTGGTACGTCGCAGAGGCCAGCGCGAGCATGACTGAGAGCAGCAGGAGGTACCTCCAGGCGACGGGCATATCGTCCAACACAGTCCCCTCAGCGAACTTAAGAACAGGCCAGTGCCACAGGTAGAGAGGATAGGACAGCTTGCCGATGTACACTGGCAGCTCCTGCCCCAGGACGCGTCTCAGGGCGCTCGACTCGCACCGCCCTGCCATGATGACGCAAGCGGCGCCCGCCACGGGAAGCAGCGCGCCGGGAAAGGGGAAGCCCACGCCGACCGTGTCAAGCACGAGGCTCGAGGCTATTAGCAGTGTGGCCACCAGGTCCTGAGCCCCCACCACTGCTGCGCTTCTCCCGTCCGCTGTCATGTCCAGCCTCCCAGCAGCGTGGGCGTCGGCGAGGATGGCGCCGACCGCCAGTTCCCAGAAGCGCGCGGGCAGCAGATAGAAGGCCATGTCTGGGACGTGCACGGTCATCACCCGCGATGCACAACCGGAGAGCACAGCGGACGCCCCAAGGATGATGAGGGATGCCGGCCATGGCGGACGGCAGCCAGCCGAGGGAACAACTCGGCAGCCGTGCGCGAGCAAGACGAGAAGGGGAAACACGAGGTAGAAGTGCTCCTCTACGCCAAGAGACCAGGTGTGCACGAATGGATTGGCGGCGTTCCTACTCTGTCCCGTCATCGCGTCCCAGTAGCCGTCGCCAGTCGCCTGGGAGAGCCGCGCGAAGAACACGTTGGAAGCGCCGCAGAGCGCACTGGCGGCGGCTGCGAAGTTATCCTCCAAGTGAGGAGTCATGGGCGGTACCATGATGGCGATGTAGAGTCCACAGGACGCCATGGAAATTAGCAACGCTGGGGTCAGCCTTTTGACCCTGCGGGCGTAGAAACCGCAGAAGAACTCCGAGCAGCTGCCGCACGAGTGACTAGTGACTGAGCAGAGACGCAGTCACAACATATCCAGAAATGACAAACAAATATCGACTCCGGCGTAGCCTCCTGGCAGCCATCTTGTGTTCATGTGGTAGGCGATGACGCTCAGCACAGCGACGGCTCGCAGTCCATCCACGTCTGAGCGGTATCCTATATGAGCTAGCGTCTCTCTGCCTTTAGATGTGGTCAAGGAGCCATTCTCGCCGGCGTCCTCATTGCCCACATCGTCCACACGATCGCCGTGCGGAATGAAGGCCTCGACGCAGCTTCCCATCCTGCCCTGGAGGCTGCTGAGCGAGCGCTCGATGTCGGTCCGACGGACCGGCCCTGCGATAGCAAAGCTGCTGGGCACGCCCAACAGAGCGAAGCAAAGCCTCAACTCCAAAGGCCTTGAACCAAAGGCTCGAACTTGAGCCAAAATGGCTACGGTTTCGCTTTCGGAGCAGATTTGGAGGACGTTCGCGCCCAGTTTGCGGGGATGTCTCAGGCGGTTTGGCCGTTATACTGCTGGGCATCTGTCGTTTTCGGAGCAGTTTTGGGAGGATGTCTCAGGCGATTTGCTGGTTTCAGCACTCCCAAGGAGGAGGAGGAGGAGGAGGAAGAAGAGGAGGAGGATGAGGAGGAGGAAGAGAAGAGAAGGAGGAAGCGAGGAGGAGGAGGAAGAGGACGAGGAGGAGGAGGAGGAGGAGGAGGAGAAGGAGGGCAGCATGAACACGGTAGGAGCAGAAGCAGGAATGGGATGATGATGATGATGATGATGATGATGATGATGATGATGATGATGATGATGATGATGATGATGATGATGATGATGAGGAGGAGGAGGAGGAGGAGGAGGAGGAGGAGGAGGAGGACGTGGGCAACTCGAGTAGCCAGGGCCAGACGATCGAGGTTCGATGTTCCAAGGCTTTAGGTTTTACTCAAACGCTTCCGCCTCACTCTCCTTCGCTCTCCGCTCTCCTTCACTCTTCTGCATTCATACTCACTCATACTCAGACTCAGTCACACGCAGGCTCACTCGCACTTAGACTCGCTCATATCCATACTTAAACTTACTCACACTCAGACTCACGCTCAGAACCACTCATACTCAAACTCGCTCCTGCTCAGACTCATCATCCTTCGGTCCGCTCAAACGCAGACCGACTCACACTCAGACTGCCTCACATCCATACCCAATCACACTCGGCTCACTCGCACTCCGATTCATTAACACACACTTTTTCTCACACTCAGACCCACTCAAGCCCAGACTCACTCATGCTCAGACTCATCATGCTACGATCCGCTCAATCACAGACTGCTCACACTCAGATTCGTCCATACTCAGACCCACTCGCACACAGACGCACTCGCGCTCATATTTACTCACACGCATACCCACTCAAACCCAGGCTCAATCGCACCCAGATTAACTCACACTCAGACTCAGTCGCTCTCAGATTTGCTATTGGTCGCACTCATGCTTGCAGACTGTGGGAATGTCTCGAGCGAGCGGTTCGCCCTCGCACACAGGCGCTCATTGACAGATATCAAGAGAAAGACGTACCAAGAGAATGAGATGCACATATGGGGAGGCCCGCGTCGAGTAATTTCCCCTCCTGAATCAAGTTGCGCCACCACTGGCTCTTATGTTATGGGAGGGGGGTGGGAGTAAGTCGGGCGTGTCCCCCTACAGGGGGATCTTGGGCGAAAACAAACAAATACTAAAAAATACCCCCCGAATGGGCAAACAATTGTCAAAACATCGTCCCCTGACTGTTTTTTTTGACTATTTTTGAATACTTCCCCCTGTAGAGGGACAGGCCCTCTACTTAGGGGTGGGAAGGGGCGGGGCCCGCTGACTCGCTCGACCTGGATTGCTGGACCTCCGCTCACACTCCAGCTTGCGCTCCTCTTCCTCCTCCTGCATCTGCGCACTCCCGCTCCTGCTCGACCCCATCCAATCCGTCTGCCCCAAGTATAGGAAGGCACCAGCTATACACCAACACCGATCCTGGCCAGGATCACCCTGGGCCCAGGATCGGTGTATACGCCCTCCTGCCTTGGGCAAGAAGGCATATACACCGATCATGGGCCCAGGGTGATCCTGGGCCAGGATCGGTGTTGGTATATAATTGGTGCCCTCCGAAAGTAGGATTTGTCTAGGCGTTTCTTGGTTATTGGAGAAGCGATGGGTGCGATGCATGCGCCGGCCGGCGTTCCTCAGGGTTCCCTCTTCGTGTTTCCTTACGTTGCGTTCTTCAGGGTTCCATGGTCTCGTTTCCTTACGCTGCGTTCCTCGGGTTGCTTGGTATTGCTTGCGCTTTTTTGGAAAAAACATTCCTGGGGCTCCTCGATCTTGCTTCCTTACTGTGCGTTCTTCAAGTTTCCTTGCGTACCGTTTTTGAGAATGCCTTCTTCCGGATTCCTTGGTCGTGTTTCCTTACTGTGTGTTACTCGGGGTTCCTTGGTCTTGTTTCCTTACTGTGCATTCCTGGGATTGCTTGGTATTGTTTCCTTACTGTTTTGAAGAGACTTTCATTGGGTTCCTTGGTCTCCTTTCCTTAATTACTGTGCGCTCCTCAGGTGTCCTGAATGCTTTTGAAGAGGCCTTCCCCGGTGTTCCTTGATCATGTTTTCTTAGTTGATTTTCTCCAGGTCTTGTTGCTGTACTGTTGCGTGGCCTGGGGTTGCTT